TAACCCTAACCCTAACCCCTAACCCCAACCCCAACCCTAACCCTAACCCCTAACCCTAACACTAACCCTACCCTAACCCTAACCCTAAACCCTAACCCTACCCCTACCCCTACCCTACCCTAACCCTAACCCCAACCCCAACCCTCACCCTCACCTAACCCTAACCCCAACCCAAACCCTAACCCTAACCTAACCCTAACCCTAACCCAAACCCCAACCCCAACCCTAACCCCTAACCCCAACCCTAACCCTAACCCCTATCCCTAACCCTAACCCTAACCCTAACCCCTAACCCTATCCCTATCCCTAACCCTAACCCTCCTAACCCTAACCCTAACGCTAACCCTAAACCCTAACCCTAACCCCAACCCCAACCCCAACCCTAACCCTGACCCCTAACCCTAACCCTAACCCCTAACCCTATCTCTTATTTGGTTCTATTTTTGCATTTTCTTTTTGAGTATTTTCTACATTCTCAGCAATTTCTTTCACTGTTTTTATCATCCATATTTCAAATTATTATCTGTCATTTCTATCTTTTCTTTCTATGTGGAATCCTCTGCCGTAGCTTCCTCATGTTCCCTGCGTGGGTCATGGGTTGCTCTGTACTGGTTTTTCATATTGCCAGGATTTTTCTATTGGTTTCTCCTCGTAAGTTTTTTCTTCTTAATTGCTTCCCTTTCACTTCATCCTCCTCTTTAAATTATCTTGTCTCTGTGCTTAGGTTTTGAAGAGTCCTTTTGATATAGGACCAAAACGAAGAGAAGAGTGAAGACCAAGAAGGAAGAAAAGACAGCAAAAGAGAAAATAGAAATAAAATGTGGGGACGGAAAGATTGACAAAAAGAAGAGAGGAACAGAAATGGAGAGACAGAAGTAATAGCAATGTTCAACAGAATGCTTTGATGCAGGCCTGCAATTCCTGGTCTGTGGGGGGCCAGGATGGGTGGGTCCCTCAAGGTCAGGAACTCTTTACTAGACTGAGCAAAAATATGACCCCACCTCCACCAAATAAAGAAAAAAAAAAACAACAGCATATGTTGCAGTGATGACCTACCAAGACCATCCTTCCAAGGGCCAAAGCTAGAAGGACCCCCAGACCAGGGGATCAAGGTCTTCTTGAGCCAGGCCAATGCTATGGCACCCCAGCCCAGGCCTCAGAGCGAGGCTCTGTCTAATAAATAGAATACTGCTTGACAAAGAATAAAACATCAGAAAAAATGATAAAATAATAATAAAAAAAAGCATATAAGGAAAAAGTACTGAGGGAATTTGTCATGACCAGTCCTGCACTACAGGAAATACTCAGAACTACATTATACATGAATCACCAAAGTCCTCACCAGTGTAAAATCACCCCAAAAAGTTAAAGCTCACAGCCTTTATAAAACACTAGCACAGGAGAGAAAACAAAGCAATAAGGTACTACCCAATATGACAAACAGAACAGCATCTCACATATCCAGTCTATTGCTCAATGTGAATGGCTTAATGGAAACCAAAAGAAGTATGTGTAGCCATTCTCATATCAAACAAAAATTACTTTAAACCAGCAATGGTAAAGAAAGACAAAGATGGTCATTAAATAATTATAAAGGAAACAATGCAATAAGATGTAACAATCCTATATATATATATGCACCAAACCCAGGACCTCCCAGATACACAAAACAAATTCCACTACAGCTAAGCAAAGAAATAAACAGTAGCATTTTAATTGCCAGGAACTTCAACATCCTACTGTCAGAGCTAGAAAGATCATCAAAGAAGAAAATAAATAAACAGTGGACCCTAATACAAATGGACCTAACAGACATTTAAAGAACATTCTTCCTCCAAACCACAAAATACACAATCTTCTCATCAGCACACAGGACATTCTCCAAAAATAGTATCTTAGGCCACAAAACAAGTCTCAACAGATTTTAGGAAAATCAAAATTATACCATGTATCTTCCCAGACCATAGCGGAATAACACTAGAAATCAATTCTAAGAGAAACACCCAATTCTACATAAAGTCATAGAAATTAAACAATCTGCTGCTGAATGGCTATTGGGTCAATAATGATATTAAGATAGAAATCAAAAGTTTCCTTGACCTGAAGAGCAAAAGGGATGCATGCTATCAATATCTCTATAGAGTAAAAGCATTCCTAAGGGGAAATTCATAGCCTTAAATGCCCACATCAAAAAGTCAGGAAAAACTACAAATTAACAATGTCATATCTTAAGGAACTAGAAAAGGAAAAGAAAACCAAACTAAAAACGAGCAGAAGGCAAAAAAAAAATGAATATCAGAGATTACTGGGGAGCTTTCTGACTCACTGGATGTCAAGTTGTTACTAGATTGTTATTGAAGAGCAAGGAGCTCTTACTCTGTCCTATCTCCCTGGACCTGTTGAATATGGGAAAATGTTCTGATTTCTTCATCCTTTTGCCCCAAAGCCTTTCTAATCCATCATTGGAACTTATGTTCTTATGTACTGCCTCATGTCCACCCCCAGCTTACCTTGTGGACATCTTTGGCCTGTATCTATTGGCCAGTATAGTAAGCTTCTAACTTTATGCTGCTGGGGTAGGGGGCAAAGAAAAGTCTGCCTGCCATCCTCAATTGTCTGGATGTTCTCTGTAAGCTCATGGTTGATCACAGATGGTAATTGTCATAGGGCTCCCTATCCTCTTTTGCCCACAGGTGAATTAGCAGGGAGGAGAGCATCCAGGCTAGGAAATGATTTTGTTGTTCCTACCTTTTCTTCATGAAAAGCTGTAGAGCTGGGTGCAGCCATTTTCACTTCCTGACCTTGGGCTGCAAGTGGCTCCTGTTTGTGGTCTCTCCATATAGTTGTGTCCATCCTGATGGCTCTGCTACTGCAGAGCCTGGCAGGCTCTACTTGGTGGCTCCCAATGCTATGTGCCCAGATCCATTCACAGCCACCACAGCTTGGGACCACAGATATTGGCATTGGGCTCACCTCCAGCTTCGCGTTTCCTCCTGCCATCAGGCTGGGTCATGTCACACCTGGAGAACTCCTAGAAGTGGGAGTGAAGGGGACAATCCTCTCCTTTGCTGTGACTGACCAGCCCCCCTGGCCCATATTGATCATGCCTTCTTCATTCCTGGCCGACTTCCCCTGGATCATGTAAAAAAAAGAGGAAGAAAAGAAAGAGAAAGAGAGAACAGAGAAAATAAAGAGGAAAAGAAGACAAAACTTTAGAGCTTCTTCTAAGGAACCTGGAGGTTCCATCTTCATAGTCCATCCCAGAAATAAGGTTGGTTGAAGACAAAATGTTATAAAGAAAGACTTGCATTAGTCCTTTTTTCAAGTTAAAAATTTGTATGAATTCAAGTGCCTTGAAGAGAAGGCCCCCACATCATCCTCTTATGAAAATTTCTAATATGGGCTTTTTTTTTTTTTTTAGATAGTCTCACTATGTCACCCTCAGTAGAGTACAATGCCATTACAGCTAACAGAAACCTCAAAGTTTTGGGCTTAAACGATTCTCTTGCCTCAGCCTCCTGAGTAGCTGGAACTATGAGTGCCCGCCACAATTTTGGTTGCAGTTGTCATTGTTGTTTAGCAGGCCCAGGCAGGGCTCAAACCCACCACCTTTAGTGTATGTGGCTGGTGCCGTACTCATTGAGCTATGGACACCTAGCCCAACATCTCTTTCTTACTGGAACCAAGGAAGGAAATCTCCTAGGAAGCATTCAGGAAGTGGTCTCCACCCACCATTGGTGCCAACATTCTATGTTTTATTTATTTATAGGATTTCTAAGACGCATTGTGTGCTTGACAAAATGCCACAATTATGCCAAGTCCCAGAAATCTGACCCTCATTGATTTCTTTGTATTTCTTGATCAGGGAATTTTCAGACTTAGGCTCACACTTGAGGGTCTTGCATTACTCTCTGGCAGACTCACCATGTGACTTTCTAAGTCTTTCACGGAGTTAGACCCTAGACTCTTATCTAAAGACCTCTCTGATGTACACCATGGAATATTATTCAGCCCTATTTATAGCTTTCATAGGAAAGCTATAACCCAATTATAACCCAAGAACATGGGGGAAGAGGAGAGGGAGGGGAAGGGAGCAGGGAGGATGGGTGGAGGGAGGGTTATTGGTGGGATCACATCTATGGTTCATCTTATAAGGGTACATGTGAATCTTCCTAAATGAATAATATAAATGTCTTAACACAATAATTAAGAAAATGACATGAAGGCTATGTTAACCAGTCTGATGGAAATATTTCAAATTGTATATAAAAAAGGACACTGTACCCCGTGACAGTATTAATGTACACAGCTATGATTTAATAAAAATAAAAAAAAATAAAGACCTCTCTGGGTCACTCAACAGATGATCTTTTGGGCCATTCTCCAGGCTATATCTCTGATCCTTCTTCACATCCTTCTTTAGTAAAAGAATTTTTGAACATCTCTCATGGAAGCTTCCAGATTGACTCAATCCTTAATTCTATATATCTTCTGTTCTGACCTTTAAAGAAAGAGATCCACAAAAGTTCATAATGGCACTTTGACTCAAATGTCTTAAGAATTTCTCTTAGAAGACTTAGCAGTGACAAAGACTCATGAATCCTGTGGGGCAGGCCAGTGTTAAATAAGCCTCTTTCAAAGGTGATGCTCTAGTTTCTTCTGAAGCTCATCACTGGGATGAAAATCTCCAAGAAGGACAGAGATTGGAACATAAGCCTTGGAGGACTGGCTCACCAATGTAAGGTTGGGAGCTGGAAGACAAAAGTCATCCTGAGATTTCTTGATCACAGAGGGTAAACTCTATACAATTTCCTCGTTTTTCTGCAACACATTCCATTCTACATGGTGAACTTTAGATGCTGTAAGACACTGTACTTCTTTCTAGGGTTTAGGAGGCTCAAATGATAGGACTAAGAGTAAGGAATGAATTGGGACTAGGAATGGACCTGAATGAGAGATTGAGACTGAGCTGGAGGCAGGAGTTGAGGCAAAATTTGAAGTTGAGCCTCATGCAAGGACAGATGTTTGGAATGAAGTACTGTGGATTCTGGGGCTATGGAAGTATTTGTAATTCTACTCAGGAACACAAATATTGAGGAACATCCACCAGGAATGAAGACAATGGACTGCAGGGACTCACTATGCAGAGACAGAAGACCACAGCAGAGCTGGATATATTTTTCTCTAAATTGTCCTCAAAGGTCTTAGAAAACAGTTGGTAATGAATGTGCAGCTCCTTTGTTTTGACTCTTCTGGTCCAAAATGGAAGCTGAATCATGCTTATCAGCAGTTTTTGCTGAAGAATTTAGTTGGTAGTCTAACTTAAATTGCTTTTTAAATGATCTTGTCTTCTTTTCCTTCCACATCAGGAAATCAATCCTCTTTTTAACCTGTCTCTCCAAGAGTTCCAGAATATCAGGATTAAAAAAAGAGAAGTTACCAGGTTTTAAAATGTTGGCTGCAGGGTCTCCTATGAAAGAGACCTCAGAAGAGTGGGACGCAAGAATCTCTTGCTTAAAATCACATTGTGCCAATTTGGAGGGGAACAAGTCCTTGGCACAAAGCTGCTACCAGGAGAATTCTGAAGCAAGGATTGAAGGGCCAATACCTCTGATTATCTGGAGAGGATATCTCCAGGGCATGGAAATGGATTCAGAATGAATCACAGTTATAAATGCCATCTGGTGGTGGTGAAGCAGGGGTTGGCAGTATGTGATGAGAATGGAGGAAGGAGGCAGAGAAGGCTCAGGCAGAGGGGCTAGTATTAATTCACCTGAAGAATTACTGACAAGGTGGAGGACAAAGTTCATTGATGACTCTGACACAGAAATTTGAGAAGCTATAAGTGATACAGAGTATTGGGGGTCAGGGGTCCTGGTTTCCTGAACCCAGTTGACAGTTGACCTGGTTCTATTAGACAGTTCAACTGAGGCACAGTGGTAAAGCAAAGGTGAATGGAAACCGGAAATAAAACTGGAGCCAGCGCAGGCAGTATGAATAGAAAGCAAATGTCACCACGTAAATTTCAGTGTAACAAAGTGAGATTTTATTTAGGAAGAACAAAGAAATTTAGAGCACTTCTGAAGAAAACTGGAAGCAGGTCCCTCTCATAAAGGAGAGAGGTGAGAGAAATGGAGGTGAGGCAAAGGCTTGTAAGGATATAAATACTCTTTCTCTCGGTTTGAAGCTGGTCCCGAGTCTTTCATTGGTCTCTCTGCACCTCCAGGCAGTATTGCCATTTTACACTGGTCATTGACTGTCTCTTTCTATTGGTCATTGCTTACCTAGGTTACCTCATACCCACATTCTTATGGCCTTTCCAGACTTCCTGGTTCAGCAGGACAGGTTTTCCTCCCACCCCCCTTGAAACCCCTTTCTCAGTGTCCCTTCTCACAGACAGAGTAGCATCTTCCAGGGACTGTAAGAAGAGCACTTCTGTGACTTCAGTAGCTGTACTATTACACACATCACAGAGGGGGATCAGGATATAACAGCTGACAAAAGCTCAAAGTATCATGATCTCTACTTCTGTACTGCAGAAGACAGAAGGTACTAAGCTTCTGCCAAGACCAGAACAAGGAAAAGAGAGTCTGATAGCCTACCTGGGGTGGGCTGAAGCCTGCAAACCCCCTCACCTTGCCCCTACCACCCATGACTTCACAATACACCCTACAGCCTCTCCAGTCTACAGCTATCATTCACATACCCCCTCCCATCACTACAGTAGGGTGCACTAAATCCCTGAGATGCATGAAACATGTTTAGAAGGAAACCAGGAAAGGAGAGGAAAGGTTAATCACCTTAGAGATAGATCATTCTCTATCAGAATAGAAAGCACCTTCCTTTCTTCCTCTGCTTCTCTGTGGCAAAATCTCTGACCTAGAAAACCAGGAGAGTAGCTTATATATAAGGAAGGTAGAAGCATAGGGATTATACAGAAGTCCCTTGGGATATTAAACGCTGATAGCACCCAAAATCAACAGACAAGGCCAAATAATAATATTTGGCCAACAATAATATTGATCAGGTCAACAATAATATTGATAAGGTTCAACAATAATATTGATAAGGTTCACATGTACATGTGGCCTCATCTATAAAGTACTTTCACATGATACTGAAAACTACCATGTGAAGTAGTAGCTCAAAGTGGTTCCTGAGCACCCAGGAAGTAAAATACTTATGCAAAGTCAGGAGAGAAATGTTCTGATTCGAAAACAATTGGTAGTCCTTCCTCAACATCTCACATGACCATCTATTGGACAACACCCAGTGCCCAGGTCTATCACCCCTTCATGCCCACATATGGGCAAAATAGGGGCTCTAAGTATCTCAGGTCCCTTTGCCATCCCATGAGTGTCTCCTCTGAGGGCTATACCTAGTAAAAGACATCCTCAGAAATCATGTAACTGGGACCTCATGGAAGGAACGGTAAACCTCACTATTGGAAGGCTCAGGTCAAACAGGCAGAGCTTTACCTTTCAATGTTCCTTCTACCTTCTCTTCTCTTGGCTCTGAGAGTAAGAACAAAAAGTACAGAGTAACAGGCCATGGCTCACTTCTTTAACTCTTCTTTCCTTTGAAAAACTCAAAGGAGGATTTTGTTTATAAAATCCTCACATGATGTTCTCAGAAGTCGTGTGCTCACAGGGAACACAGAAGCCAATAGTCATGCCTGCTCCCTTATAGGACCACACATCCTGAGGGCAGAGCTCAGAGGTTCTCCTGATCTGCTCAACATGAAAGCTTGGTCGAGTGACACCCAACACAGGAATACTACCTGAGATCAAGTGTCAAGAGAGACTGGTCTCCTTCAGCGACACCCATGCTTTCTAAACATGCCAATCAAGGACCACGAAATCACTGTTTGGGGAACAGCTGATTACTCTGGAACCCTCCACCACACCCAGATTGGCAGCCTGTAAGCCTGAGGTGGAACTTTAGTCCTCCTGAGCCCCTAGCCCTGCCCAACCTCTTCTCTAGAAGAGAAATGTTCTACCAATCTCTAAACCAACAAGATTCATTTAGATATGTGGGAATAGGAAACAAAAACAACAGCAAAGAATTCCTCTTGGATATTCCTTACCTTTTTGATGTCTCTTATTTTCCCAGGTAGTTGATAGAAATGATTTCAATAGCAGGTACCACAGGTACACAAAGAGTAACCCCAATCCACACAAAAGGTGAACTATAGGACCATATCCAAAACAATAGAGCTGAAGCTCAGCAATGGTTCAGGATGGCTGTTTAGGAAACAGAGGACATTCTCCATTACACAAATGGCATGGCTTCCTGAAGCAACTGAGTGCTAAGGGTGCCTATACTTGAAATTTCGGCTTGTGTCCAGACAGTTATACTCTCAGGATCACACACATCCTCAAATCCATGTTATCTACAGAATGTTTTTACCTCACACTAACCCAGTTATAATACCTAAAGTTCTTTTACACTTAGTTTTATGAAAGTCAAATTGTTAGTTTTTGTTTTAAAGCCAGCCTTTACTGTTTTGAATCAGAGGGGCTGACTCAAATAATTAAAACTAGTAATTCATTAGCCAACATCCAAAAAACTAAAATAAACATACACAGTTAAAACTTCAAGTGATCTTGGAAGTAAATGTATAGTACTTATTTTTCTGAAGTTAGTGAAGCTTAAATGGTTCAAAGACTTTTGTGAACATGCTTCATACACAGGCGCACACACACACACACACACATCCTTTCACAAATAAATATAGTATTTTAAGATCTATAAATCAATCATTTCTTGTTTCCATATTTCATTCATTATATTGTCTACACCTTTTCTAACCCTACCTAAAATACAGACAGTACTGTGAACAAACCCACAAAGGCAATTCATGTTGCTTCCTACACAGAAAGCCAATTACTGACAATAAGGATTGTCAAGGAGAAAACAATTTATTGCAGAAACAGTATGTCTGCTGGGAGGAAGAAGCACAAACCACCTTAACTCTCCTGACCAATTAGGATCAGGGGGGTTTTCTGGAGATGGAATGAATAATGCATGAGGGAAGTGAGCATCTTTGTATGTTTGGGGTGGAGTGCAGGGCTTGCAAGAAAAGTGAGAAATCATGCTAGTACATACATTCCCATAATCAAAATATGGTACATAAGTCCCTCCCAGGGCAGATATTTTAGTAGTATAAAGAGCCATGAGTTAATATTGGTCATTCTTTCAGACTTGTGTGGAGGCTCAGTGGGTTCTTGGGCACAATCTGTGATGGCATATGGCTTGTCTTTTCTGGACAAATGAGCAGTGCAAGGCCCTGTAGTTATTTCATGACTGCAAGAAGGCTCTGTGATTTCTGGGAAAGAAACTCAAAAGGGAGTGCATCAGTACAACGAAAAGTTACAAAGTTCTGGCCAGAAATTCTCACTCACCTAGGAACTTAAAACATAAAAAAACTATTAAAAAAAGCAACATAAAAATGTTTTCTTGTTTATGGAGCAGGTTATGGTCCCAGCCCTCTACATCAATATCATAGTATGTATGTGACCACTCCCAGGTCACAGTGTACTAAACTATTCATTCCCTCAGTCCCTCATGGCAGGGTGGGACCTAGGAGTGTCAAAGCCTTAAGACAAAAGCTAGTCTTGATCAGCCTCACCTGATTATCCCATGGCCATGTAAACATAATCTTTTCCTAAGAATGCCTGGGCACCAAAAAAAAAAAAAAAAGCTTGAAAATATCTGTTCTCTATAATAACCCATGTAAATGTCCAAATATCAACTACCTATCACATTTTACTCAGGGCCTTCTTGACAAGTTAAAATAATCCCAATATTCTCTCACCCTTTTTCCTATACCATTATTGTTGCAGTTTTGCCAGGGCCAGGTTTGAACCTACCACCCTTGATATATGGGGCCAGCACCCTACTCACTGAGCCACAGGCATTGCCCTCCTATGCCTTCTTAAACTATGCAATACTTTATTTGACACCCACAGGCCAGCACCATTACTTGACCATTACTTTTGAAGGGTGAGGCAGCCTTCAAACCTGGCAGGTTCTCCTTTCATCTATGCAGGAGCAGGTAACCTGACTGAAAGGTAAAATCTGCCAAGAGCTGCCACTTGCTCCTCCCTATGATATGCATCCTCAGTTTTTATTGTTTATTTCTGGAGACTAGGAGACACAAACATCTGTGAGTTGGGGGCTCTGCCCTTGACCTCATAATGTAGTTATAGCATTAAATCCTACACAGTTCAAGAGCTATACAAATGCAGTGGAGAGGTTTCCCTACTTCCCACATTTCTAACTGCTGAGTGATCTCTGGAACATATCAGATACTGTGGGTCATAAATACTCACACACGGCATACCTCTTACCAAAGTATCCCTGAATGCCTACCCTCTCCAATTTTCTGGTATAAATTCTTGATTCTTTGATAAAGATGGTCGAGTAACAGGTTTTCTCTTTAAAATGGCATTCTTTCAACCAGATATCCTTACAAGCAAATAATTGTCCCAGTATTTCCCACTAAAGCCCCACCATTCAGGTATATGAGATGAGCTTAGGTCAAAAGAACACCCCCAAAATAATCACTGGTACCTAGGGAATACTGTTGACCTATCTAAGTCAGGCAAGTGTGATCTGTGAACCAGTGTCTGTCCATACATTTTGTACAAAAAAATTTGTTATGTTTTTGTTACTGTCTATGAGATGTCAGAATTTTTTATTGTAATGTAACGGGGTAATTGAATCCACTAATAAAAAACTGAGGCTCACATTTTGTATGTCTTTGGTTTGTGTGTCAGTTTTTAAGATTCATTTTCATTGTATTTTATACAAGTATCAGTGCACAGTTGATGGGCTGGGGCTCCTTCACCACAGCTAGTTTAAGAAATTATGGTCTAATGTATATCCTCCACTGTGAAGGCTGGTGTCAAATTAACTTTGTTAATTTGTTAACTTTGTTAACTGTGTTAACTTGGATGGATCACAAGGTGCCCAGATATTTGGCTAAATATTACTTCTAGGTGTCTGTAAAAGTGCTTCCCAGTGAGATTAGTATTTGAATCAGTGGGCTCAGCAAAGCAAATGGTCCTTCCCAAGTGAGTGGACATTAATTAACCTCTTGAGGACCCAAGGCTGTGTGACATCTGCTACACTCTTTGAGGTGACCTCCAAGAACCTAGTCTGATTAAGAAATCTAGTTTGGCTTTCACATTTTACAAACCCTAAGCAAAACTTCTAACCATCTAACCCTAACCCCCTAACCCTACAGAACAAGGGGGTATTTGTGCTATAACTAATTCTTCATACTGCACTTACATACCTCTGCAAAAGTGAAAATGCATGTTAATAAAATAAGGCAAGCTTCATTGTTACAACAGATTAAAAGGGATGATCTGTTCTTTCTGAGGTCTTAAAATTTAGCCTTTCCCTGTTACTACTTATTCTCTTGATTTACCTCCTGACAAACATATTAATCAAATGTGGACTAAAATGTTGTTTTAAAACAAGAGACAAATGCCCTCAAATGCTGCTACTACAGACATCCAATTATTCATCTATAACTGGTGAGTATTTTCAACAACAAGCTGAACACTTCCATTCCTCAGACCCCAACTATGTCCCACTTTAATGAGAAATAGCCAGATTGTTCAATGCCTTTATTCCCCCCATATTGAGAAATAAACAAAGAAAAGAGGAATATCCTAACCCAGCTCCACAAACAAGAAAACATTTTTGTAGTTTTTAAAATTCTCTTCTGTTTCAAGTTCCAGGCCAGTAAGAGTGCTGATCAGAACTTTGTAACTTTCTGTTGCACTGATGCATTCCCTTTTGAATTTCTTTCCCAGAATCAGCAGAAACTTCCTAGAGCTGTGAGATAACTACAGGACCTCACACTACCTGTTTGGAGAAGACAAAATAAGCAACAATCCACCACAGATTATGCTTCAGGACCCACTGAACAGTCACTCCCCATATCCTGCTATCCTGCCTGGGCAGAAAGCTGAAAGAATGACCAATATTAACTCCTAGCTCATTATACTACTAAAATCCCTGCCCTGGGTAGGACATGCCTGCCATATTTTGATCATAGAATGTATTTGTTAGCATCACCTCTCACTGTTCCTTGCATTCCACCCCAAAGGTACAATGTTGCTCACACCCCTCATACATTACTCATTTCACCTCCAGAAAACAACTCTGATCCTCTTGACTAGAGAAGCAGATTTGAGACAGTCCATACCTTCCACCTCCCAGCTAATGCCTCTTCTGCAATAAATCCTTGACAACCTTCCACGTCTCAGTAATGGCTTTCTGTGTGGGGAGCAACAAGAACTCCCCCTTGTGGGTTCGTTAACATCCCTAATACCTCGGCCATAAACCCTGAATCTCACCCAGACCCTCATTCTAAGCCTTTCCTTACACCCAATCTTTTAAGAGAGCCCTACACCCAGACTCTAACTCTTTATCACATTGATTATGCCCTGAACTTTAAACCTTAATCCTCAATTCATAATTTCTAACCATCTGAGGTCAGTTTTAGTGGGTTTCTATTAGAAAATCAGTTTAGGAGCTTGAGGTAGAAGATTCGGCTTTTAGGGTGACCTTCGCTTACTTGCACCAGATAGCTTGGGAAGATGCTTCCTCCCTCCCCAGTACCCCAGGTCATGGCAGGATACCAGTGTCCAGGAGGGGTCTGGGGCCCAAGCGGGCACTGCACGTGATCAGGGTCCACCGGGGAGGGGCCGCGGCCAACTGGGCGACCCTAAGAGAGAGCTGAGGGCGCGGGGCCTGGGCAGTACGTGCTCCTCTGCACTTGTGAGAAGAGCCGCCATCCTGCCGACTTTAATTTTGCTTTACTGGGATATAACTCACCCACTCCCGCAAGATTACTTGGCGATGCACAAAGCCGGCGCGGGTTGGGGACCGAAGCTCGACTAGGGAGAATAGAGCACAGGCTCAGACAGCGTGCACATGCGCATTGACCGCATGTGGCCTCATAACCCGGGGGCGAGGTCGCAGGAGTTTTGTGCACCTGCGCAGGCCCAGCTCCTCACGCAACCAATCGCAATCTCAGCCCTCATCTCTGAACGGAATTTGCAGGGTGGTGGCTCAGTTGAGGAATCAGGCACAGGCAGCCGCTTCCAGGCAGCGGCGCCAGGTCGTTACCCACCTGCCCTCTGCGCAGGAGCGCGTGCGTGGGAGAGCACTGCGCAGGCGCACTGCAGAGCATCCAGGCCGAGGAGGGAGACCTGAGAGGAGATGGCTGGCCGGGCTGGCCCTTCCGAGCCGGATGCTGCGGGAACCCAAGAGCGGGCCCAGAAGGCCGCAGGTAGAGGTGAGAGTCCACAGGAGAGCTAGGGCCTCCCTTAAGGCCTGGGCTTGAAAGAAGGCTGAGGCCAGAGTCTGAACTCGGGCAGGCCGAGGCGGGACCTGCTTCCTTAGTTTGCCGAAATGACTTGAGGCTTTTATGACGAGAAGTTTCAACTGTTGTACAAAGATGAGGGATTAATTACTCACATGCCCCCCACTTAGGTTTGACCCGTTGAATTCTTACCATATATGCGCCATGTATCTTTACTTTAGGTCATTAGTCAGAAGGCACCCTTTCGCTTCGTGCCAGACAATTTCCAAATGCAGCCGTTGGTGCCACCAAACCTAAGGGAATGGTTAATCCCCCATGATTCTCGCCGTAGCAGCAGCACGTACCCAGTGGCCCCTATCGTGTGGAAGTGGTTCTTAGCCGTGGGCCCCAGGACAGGCCACCCCTGGTCTCCATCTTCCTGCCAGGAGAAGGACAGGGTGCTTGTTCAAACCTGCAGATGAGACTCGCAGCCCAAAGGGAGAAGAAAAGTGAAACATTCTTCTCTGGCCACATGCCCCTCTGGGAGAACATGCTCCTGCATGTTTTGTGGGGATTTTTAGACTTATCCAGAAATGGAGAGAATTGTACAATGAACTCCCACACACCTGTTGCCCACCCTGTCACCCTCTGCTCTTGTTGGTCATCCTCCGCATTAAAATGCAACACACAAAAAGCACCTGTTGGTCACTCCCTCCAGACCTACCTACATCAGTGCAAGCTTGGTAGATGGCTGGTGCTCTGTTACGTTTCTACAAAACGAAGACACGATGATAAGGCTGGGTGCAGTGGTTCACGCCTGTAATCCCAGCAGGTTGGCAGGCCAAAGAGACCAGCCTGAGTAAGAATGAGACCACAAAATCAAAATTTAAATCACCTGGATTTCTCTGAAAGGCTAACCCTAAATATAAACAAAACACAAAAATAATCTTTTCCTCCTTTATCAACATGGTTTGGTGAAATTAAACCAATACAGCTATAAATAAAACAGCTTAAAGAGCCCCATTTGCCTTTAAAAAGAATACATGACAGCCAATTCTAAAAAAAAAAGGTCAAAATCCTTCCTTCTATAAGCTAAAATTTAACTGCTGTATCTTGGGCCACATTCTTACGTTTCAGAGTCTTCCAATTTGGGAACTGTTCATTTTTGGGTTTTTTTGTTTGCTTTTTTGATCTTTTGCACAAGATTACAACATGGGGACTATAGTGAACAGCAATATATTGTATTCTTGAAAATTGCTGAAAGTAAATGTAAACTGTTCTTACCATAATAACGATAAGTATGTGTGGTAATATATATGTTATTTAACTTAAGTAAGCCATTTCAAAATGTAACAATATTTCAAAATGTCATATGGTACACAATAAGCACTAAGGAAGCCTTAAAGAAAAAAGTAAAACATAAATAGCCCTAAAAATGTGGGAAATTATTTCCTTTACTTTCGCATGCCCCTCTTGAATAAATCTCAAATGTCAAGAAGTCTTTCCTAAATCACTTCCTTTTTGTGCACAATAAACTCTTAAAATTAAAAAAGAAAGTGAGACCCCATCTCTACAAAATATAAAAGTTAGTTGGACGTGGTAGTGTGCACCTGTAGTCCCAGCTATTTAGAAGGCCCAGTAGTTTGAAACTACAGTGAGCTATGATGATGCCCCTGCATTCTGACCCAGAAAACAGAGAAAGACCCTGTCTCAAAAAAAAGATAAATGAGAGACCATTGAGGTCAGTTCATGTGTCCCTTAAAGCCCTTTTATTCTGTAAAACTCTTCTTTTGTCTTTTTTCCCCTCAAAGTTTATTTGTTAAACAAACCAGGTTGTTTTTCCTGTGGAGTTACCCAGTTTGGTTACTGATAATTGCATCTCCATGTGCCGGGTAACATGTTGCTCTATACCTATATTTCCTCTAAGTTTGTAGCTACAACTATAACTTTCATGAGCATTAGCATCATTTCTTGGCAAGAGTTCTTAATAGGTGCTAATCCCATTACGCCAGGTGGCTCAGGATGGGTGGTTATCTTTATTGTGATTTTAAAGCCATAAATAGTAATTTTCTAGATCTAATTAAGTGGTTTTTAAAAGGTTCCAATAACTAGAAAAATTAATGTGAAATATTATTTTACAGGGAGACATTAGAATCCGTATTGATTATATATAGGAAAACTATCTGTATTTATGTACATGTTAACTAGACTTCTCATTACACTTTCTTACTAGTCCTTGTTTCTTGTATAAGGGTCTCCAAAACTTTTTAATGGATTATGACATCTGCCAGGTATAGTGATTTTTGACTCTGTGCTTCAGTTTTTGTAACCTTGTTTTTTCCCGTGCATTATTATTTGACCTTACTTTGAACAGCCTCAATAGTGACAAGTCACCCTGCCCTCACCTAGAGTTTTATGAAGGGCATATCTACTGTCATTTCATCCTATAGGGAAAAGGTGACCATGGAAAAGCCTGATAGCATCTTGTGCACTGTCCAACTCAAAACAAAGAGCAGAACTGTCAGATCCTTTCTGTGGCCTCTCACTTGAATGCATTTTGAAAGGTCTGATTTTGTCTCTACAGGGCAAGACATGTCCTCACAGAAAATTGAAGACTTGATGGAAATGGTGAAAAAGCTACAGAAAGGTCACGTGTCTCCTCTGTATCTGAGGCTCAGCCTGAGGTTTGGGGTCTGGTAGATGTGGGTTTAATTCCAGGCCCGACAATTTATGAACTTGGGAAATTATCCTCTTCACTTTTTCTTTCTTTTAAAATTTAATTCCTTCAACTAAAAATTTGGCCCTGTGATTCAAATTTAAAGAAGCATAAGGGTGTAAGAAGGTAAAAGTTTTCCCCAAACCCCTGTCCCAAGCTCCTTTCTGGTCGACCATTTGGCTCCATTGTACTCCTTTAGATCCAGAGCTATCACTGTCACCTCCCTTTTTTTTTTTTTATTAAATGATAACTATGTACATTAATGCGATCATGGGATACAGTATGGTATTTTCATCTCACATCCTGCTGCTCCTTACTTGCTCACTAGACTCCTGCCAGCCATGTTCCCACCTCAGGGTGGGCTTTTTCTCTGGCTGCCTCCCACCCCCATCCAGCTACGTGCCGTTTGCTTGACTTGGGGCCTCCATGACATCTTCCCAAATCTGAGAAATTCTAACCATTCCTTTGCTCTTCAACCCCTCGTCCTACTTTATTTCCACCACAGTTACCACAACCTGACTCAGTATCTCTCTTGCTGTTTTTTGTCTCATTCATTCACAGTGTGGGCTCCACACTGTTTACAGTGGGTGCTAAACAGATCTGTGTTGAATGAAGGCAGCAGAGACACAGTTTAGCACACTGTTTACAGTGGGTGCTAAACAGATCTGTGTTGAATGAAGGCAGCAGAGACACAGGCTGGCAGCCATCCCACCTGACTGCTTTGTCATCAACTCAACCTCCTTTCCTCCCTGCAGCGGGAAACCTAGAGCCCCGTGTTGAGGTCCTGATTAACCAGATTAATGAAGTTCAGCAAGGTGAGGTCAGGGGCCTAGGCTGCCAACCCAAACCAGCTACTTGCTTTTCTGGGCCCCTTCCTTCAAAAATACTCCCTATTAATGACAGCAACAACAGAGCTGAGTACAAGGTGCTTCTGCATACATCTACCGTAGTCATATGCCCACATGCCCTGCTGCCAGCTGAGCCTAGGAAAAAGGGCCTGGGCTCTGGAAGCATCTGCTCCATAAAATTGGGGCCCCACTAGGCTAAATTGAAGGCAAATGTAAAGTATCATTGTTTACAAGGAATAGTGTAGCTGGAGGCTGCACTCACACTATGTCTGTCCTGCTGTTTGGTGAAGCAAAAAAGAAAGCAAATGCAGAGCTAGGAGAAGCTCGGACCATTTGGGAGGCCCTGCAGAAGGAACTTGACTCACGTAAGCAAACCATGGGTCATCCAAAGGTCCCTACATTGTCTTAAGCATCTTCCAACCTTAAATTCCAGACACTTGGCATCCTTGCCACAGCCAAGGGACCTGTTCCCTTTCCAGCCTCATGTCCTCTCCTCTCTGCTTTCCAGAGTGTTCAGTACCTCCAAACATACTCCTGCTCAGGGCCCTTGCCAAGATGTTTGTGTCCCACCCCCTCACCCTCCCATCACCATTCAGTCTGAGTTCCAAAGTCCCCTTCTCAGACAGGCTTTTCCCCATCATCTCATCTCAAGATGGCATCCTACCCTCACCTAGTCACAAGGCCCTTGCTGTTTGATGTATTTCTTACAGCCCTTATGTATCTTCATGAGTAAAATTTTTCCCCTCCCCTCCATGTAAAAGCATGGGTAATCCTAGAGTCTTCATAGCAACCCTCTGTAAACACAAGACCCTTTTGTGCTTATAGGGATTATGGGCACCAGAGGGGAGGGGATGGGAGTCTCACCTAAAGGGGGCTACATTTGAGTTGGGGGCAGGGCTGTACCTAACCTCCCATGTGATTGTGGGCAAGTCCTGTCCCTGAGGGTGCAATGGGGTAGTCTCTGATGCCCGAACATGTCTCTGTTTTCCAGTGCGTGGAGAGAAAGTACGACTGAAGGAGATCTTGAACAAAAAACAAGGTATTTGCAGCTCTCCTGTCTCCAAACTTTTGCCTTTAACACTGTGGAACCTACTCTCCCTATGGCACCTGGAGCCCTTTGAAACCTGCTTCAGCTAGCATCCCTCCTGTGCTTTCCCCCAGACTCACAGGAAATGTCAAAGCACAGCCAGGTGTCCATGCACCTGGCATGACCCAGGTCTGTTCCCTCTGCTCAGACCCGATGCCTTGATGGGCTCTCACAGGGCCCTGTTGCTCTCTCTGCAGAGACCCTGAGGATCCTCCAGCTGCACTGCCAGGAGAAGGAAAGTGAGGCACAGAGGTAAGAGCTTTCAGTTGGGCCTGGCTCTGCCTTACCCCTTCATTTTGGCACAGTAGAGAGTAAGGGCAGTGCATCTTAGGCCCACAGCTCTCATTCTGTCCCTCTGTTCAATGGAAATACCAAAGAACTTCTTTCACACTTGGCTCCAGCAGCAGGTAATAGTGTTAAGAGTCACTCAGTCACCAGCATAACTATTTTTTACATTATCAGTTAATCTTCTTCAGTTGGTTTTTATTATGTACCTTTTACTCCTCACCATCCAGCAAGTTGGCTGTCTGTATACTCATCTGTCCATTCATTTAGGCATTGAGACAACCATCTGTCCATTCTCTCTCCGTCCATCTATTATCCTTCTGTCCATCTCTCTACCTCCTTAACCCTTTCCAATCTAGTTTTTCTGCCACCTGCACACTCCCCAACTCTTACTTATTTTGAGTGGGAAAGAGGTTGGTGGATAACTTGTTTTCCTACAGTTTTAAAAGAGAAAAACAAATATGAACTCACGTAATGATTTCGTTATCTATTTTAGGTTACATAAAATAATTAAAATTTGTTTGTTTATATTATCTTTTGAGTGTGATACTTCTTGAAGCAATCTCCAGGATGAAGTCCAGGCTTTCTCTTGCATGTCTTGTGGTAGAAAATGGTTTTTCTCCTTTCACCTTTCTCATTCCTTCTGCTGCAAACCATGCAGTCCTTTGCTGACTTTTCATTTTGCATTATAAAACATATCTTCCTGTTTAGCCGTTACTCAGTGCCAGAAAATGATGGTCTTTCTCTCTTTCACAAATTTCTGTTCCTCACATTGCTCACAAGCTGAGTAATGAGATTTCTCCTGTAAGAAAGGTGTGTGTACACTTTTTCTTCACTTTCCTTATGAGTACTGGATATTGCTTTCACAACTGCAGCTTCCATCAGCCAGAAAAGTAATTTTTCTACCATTTGTAGGACCTCCTTATAAATCCATAATACCCACTCTTCCCATAAACTATGTGTATTTTCAAATTGAACAGGCTATTCCTTCCTATAACTAGTAATAAAATGTGTTTGAGGACCAAAGAATGTACTCAGCATTGTCCCTAACCTCTTGTCATGGGATGAGAGGCACATCATTTCATATCACATTGATAGGCACAGAATTTATACTCCTGAAGTTACATTTTCAGACCACCTGGAAAATCCTTCCTAGAAGCCATAACTGCTCCTGTTTTAAGTATTTTTACTTTGTGCAATTTCTGAGCAAGTTGAGGGGTTGTGTAGAACCTGTCAGTGTGGATGTGATTGCCTGAACCACTCATGTGCTTCCAAAAATTGAGCCAAATTAATTACTATTTAAGACATGAATGGAAAATCAGAGTGAATAATACTTTCTGTTGTTGTCTTGCCATAACAGGGATTGTAAGAAAACACATAGCCATTTAATGAATAACACAGGCAAAAAAATTCATAGACCCTAGTTTGTAGACTTCTTCAGTTTGTAGCACTTAAATTGAATCCTTTCTTTGAAACCTGTACTCTCATCTATAGGGACATTTCTTCTTGCTACATTAAGTTTTTTTAATTTATTGTCAGTATACTCACTAATATTCTTCACCTTGTTCCCTTGGGTACACACACTCCCTTGCACTGCGATGTGTTGAACATCTTCCAACATCAGAGTGCAATAGGAATTCCGCAGATGAGGTCCAACATAGGATTGGAAAGGGTTGATGTGTATTCAGTTATTTTGTTACCAGAGACCCTGAATTCTGGCACACTAAGATGGGAACTGTTTGGGAAACTCAGGTGATAAGAAGATGTATATGCATTTGCCCTTGACCACACCATGCTGCTCTCTCCAAACCCGAGGAGGCAAGTGCATGCCACCTCCTGCCCACCACACGTTACCAAGGAGGACCTCAATGTAGAGGGATAGAATAGCCCTTAGCAGAGGGAAGCAGAAGCCCCAAACCCCTCCCCCCCAGGCAGTCCTTAGGGTAACTTTGCTGAGGGCTGCCTTGCTGCTTCCTAGGAAGCACACCATGTTGCAGGAGTGTAAGGAGAGGATTTCTGCCTTGAACACCCAGATTGAGGAGGAGAAGAACAAACAGAGGCGGCTGAGGTAAACACCAGCACCTGATGCCTTGGGATGAATAGGATGAATTATAGGTGGGGGTAGTATCAGGGATGGGAGTTAGAGGAGGGGCCAGCTGAGCTGAGCTTTGGAGGGCCACGGCAGTGACAGTGCTCCCACTGGAGCAAACAGATTGGACAAAGCTTCCCCAAAGTCCATGCCTGAAGATCCCTGACCTAGTCCAGGCTATGAAGGTAGGGGTCTCAACCCACAGCCCCTCAAGCCTGTGTGGTCGGTTGTCACCCGTAGGTTGGATTTTGAGGAACAGCTGGAAGATCTGATGGGCCAACACAAGGACCTCTGGGAATTCCACGTGAGTCTCTCAAAGCCACCACTCCCATCTCCGCATCTTCCATGGCAGCACTAGGCCCAAACTGCAGTCATCCCCAGGTCTTCTTCCTTGCACCAGCCACACTGAGTTGCTGGGCAAGCCATGGTGGTGTTAAGGTCAGCAACACCCTGAATGCATTCCCTGTCACCATCCTTGGGTACCCAGTGTCCTCACTGCTGATCCTTCCCCCACATCCCTGCTGCCCTCTGCATCTCTCCAGTGGTCAGGAGAGTTCCTGATCACACCAAGGTTAAGTTCTTCATGGAAGTGACCATGAGGTCCCATGTCTGAGACCATTATGCATGCAGGACAGTGAGCTCCAAAGCAGCCCTTGTTTGCCCTGGAGTGGGGAAGGGTTCTAGGCACTAAACAAGGATATAGACAGGGATTTGATGTCAGGAAGGAACACTGAGGCCCCAGCAGGAAAGAGAGGAAGGGAGGAGCTGCAGTGCTATGCTGGTAACCAGTTCTCCAGATAACAGCCCAGATGTGTAGTGTTTTCAGGTTTCTCTTTTAAAAACAATTGCATGATCCTCTCTAGTGTAGAATGGGGGGTATGTCAAGTGGCAGAGGTCCAGGAGGAGGCTTTGACCAGTGAAAAGGCCTTGAGACTGTCCTATGTTTGTTGGGCATGTAGGGGCAGAGCATTAGGAAGTGAGGTGTAGTGAGTGAGTAAAAGACAGGTAGGCTACTTTGAGGAATGGGGGAAGCCAAGAGATACAGACAGACCTCATTTCTGCCCCCTCAGAAGCCAGAGCAGCTAGCAAGGGAGATGTGTGCCCTGGAGAGCAGTAAGGAACAGCTGCTCGAGGAAGGTGAGACCAGGGAGGGTGGATGGCCCTTATCAGACCTCACCTGCTGTCACCTGCTCATCCGCCCCTTCCTGCTGCAGAGAAGCTGGTCCAGGCAAAGCTGGAGGATGTGAAGCATCAACTATACTCCCTGTGCGGGGCCAAGGGCTCCTCTGTCATCACTGAGGGGCTCTTCCTTCGCAGTCAGGAGGCTGCAGCAGCAGCGTAAGATGTGGAAGTGGAAGGGGTGGGAGGAGGGAGTGGCTAGTGCTGAGCACTCCCTACCTCCCCCAGGCAGCTGTTCCAGGAAGAGAACAAGAAGGCTGAAGAGCTCCTAGCAGCAGCTTCCCAGCAGCACCAGCAGCTGCAGCACCAGTGCCAGGAGCTGCAGCAGAAGCGGCAGCGGTCAGTATAGAGTTCAAGTTCCCCTCAACTCTTCCCTGGGAACATGGCTGAAGATGCCTCTATCTCTGTATCTCTTCACAACCTCTTGTCCCACTACCCCTCTCCCCTCTTCACCCATCCCACTCTCTACTATCTAGACTGAAGGAGGAGCTGGAAAAGCACGGGATGCAGATCCTTGCCCAAATCCAAAGCAAGCAGGAGGAGGGGACTGGCCCCAGAGAGGTGATGAGCCTGGAACTGGGTAGCATGGAGTAAAGATAGCTCCTAAAGGGGGGCTGGGGGCAGAAGGGCAAGAGGGATACGGGGAGTTCTTAGAGGATGGTTTGTGGGGAAGGATGTTCCTGATAGGGACACAGCCAAGATGGTGGGTGGGAGGGGATGGTGTGGACATGGGGATTGGCAGGCACACTCACCCTGGACCCTGATTTCCCACAGGCCAGTCCAAAGCCCCTAAGAGTCCATGAGGAGAAAGAAGTAGAGCCATCCACCGAGCACAGCCTGGTTCCCTCCTAGGCCACAAGTACACACTCTACTCCAACCTCATCCCAAGGGGTTTCAGGAAATAAAGGCACTATTTTTGTACAGTGTATGTCAGCTGAGTCTATGCTGTGGAGGGGTGGGGGTCAGACCCAAAACCCAGAGGCCACTGAGACTATGTAAAACCTTGGCCTGACTCTGGTTTGGATTCCAGTTCACTAATGCTCTTTTAAAAAAGAACTTGAACTCTATACTGACCTCTGCCATCCTGTGTTGTAGTCCCTAGTGGTAAGCTGATAGAAAGAAATATAATTTGAGGCTATGTGAGCTTCTGCTCTCATGGACACAAAATGTATAACTAAGACACCTGTTGACAGGAACGTGGTATGTTAGAAATCCTCAGTGTGTAGCAAGTTAGGACTCAAACTGTGTATCTGAACATGCCTCAGATTCACCAAAAAGCATTGACCCAACTAAGGCCAACTACAGGAGTCCAGTCTACACCTTCTGTGTCAAGATATAATGTGTGAATGACAAAGGGGTCCCTTTTCTTGACCAGTTCCCACCAGGTGGGCTAGTAACATGGTGGGTTAGAGAGAGGGTCGCTCTGGAGAGCACTGTTTATATGGAGGAGGGAAAGAACATGGCAAGGAGGAGAAAGTCTCTAGTCAGTCCAGAACCAGCTGAAGTCCTAAAATTCAGTGTCTCGTTTCTCTAACTATAAGATGGGGTTAATCAAAACTGTGTTATAAATAAACTCAAGAAACACTATCAAGAATAACATACTAAGTGGAAATTTTAAAAATACATAGAACTGAGTGGCTGAAAATACATTTAAAACTTGCAGTTTGGAAGAAGCCCAAGTGCCCATCAACCCATGAATGGATCAATAAATTGTGGTATATGTACACCATGGAATACTATGCAGCCATAAAGAAAGATGGAGACTGTACCTCCTTCATGTTTACATGGATGGAGCTGGAAAATATTCTTCTTAGCAAAGTATCTCAAGAATGGAAAACAAGTATCCAAAGTACTCAACCCTATTATGAAACTAATTTATAGCTATCATAGGAAAACTATAACCCGATTATAGCCCAAGAATACAGGGAAAGAGGAGGGGCTGGGTGGATGGAGGGTAAGTGGTGGGATCACATCTATGATTTATCCTATAAGGGTACATGTGAATCTTACTAAATGTAGAATATAAATGTCTTAACACAACAACTAAGAAAATGACTTGAAGGCTATGTTAACCAGTTGGATGAAAGTATTCCAAATTGCATATAGAAACAACCCACTGTACCCCATGATAGTATTAGTGTGCACAACTATGACTTAATAAAGAAATTTTTTAAAGTATTCACAATTAGATTGAGGCCAAGATGCAGAAACAAACATCAAAGAGTTTCTCTGACTGAACAATGTCTTCAACAAAGAAAATAAATTATGAATATTTTTTTTTAATTTCTTAGAGCATAACTGTGTACATTAATGCAATCATGGGGTACAGTGTGCTGTTTTCATATACATTTTGAAATACTCTCATCAAACTGGTTAACATAACCTTCATGTCATTTTTTTAGTTATTGAGTTAAAACGTTCATACTCTGCTTTTAGAAAGATTCACTTGTACCCTTGTAAGGTAAACCATAGAGGTGACCTCATCAATCGCCCTCCCTCCCCCCATCCACCACAATTACGAATATTTCATTGACATTGAAGTGAATAAAAACTAATAATTTCCTCCATTCCAACACAGTAAATCAAAGTTAATAATATAGATGTCTTTTTTAAGAATAGCAGATTTGAAAACCATATCAGCAAATTCTCTAATGCCATTTTCTCTACAAGGACTTACATTTTTCACAACTTACTTTTCTTTTTGGTGAATTTTTCAAGATTCTAATTCTCAAGACACCCTTATTTTAAGCTCATTTGACATCAACAATTATGCATTTCGGCTCGGCGCCTGTGGTTCAAGCGGCTAAGGC